AATGGATTTTCATGAATCAAACGTGAAATATATATGAATGTAAAAGACAACACATTATGTTTTTGTTTGTTTGTTTAGTTATTTTTAAGATGTAACATGTGAGGTGGAGTGTGAACAATTGAGATTACAAGAAGATGAGATTTCCAACTTTGTTGGGTTAGAAAGGAAAGATGACAGCAACATTAATTCGTGATATTTTTAACCGTAGATATTTTGAGTTCAATTTTCTGCAACCTTTTTCATTCTTTTTTTTCTTCGTTTTTATTGTGAACCATACAGCTCAATTAATGACTGAAAAATAATATTTGAAATATAAATCAGTTCGAGTACCAGTTGTTAGGGGAGAGCCACGGTACAAAACTAAAAGAACCAAAAAGCCGAGTTTATAAAATCTACCTCAATCTTATTTATGAGTATATTTGTTAAGTAGTATTTGATTAGCTTATAAGTTTTCTTTATACAAATAAGTTTGATATTGTATGATGAGTATTTTAAAAAGCTCGAGTTTATCTCGTTGGATAATTTTTTAAATAAGTTTGTTGAAATTTTTTAATTCAGCTGACTTATCAAGCTAATTTTAATTACTAAATAACCAGATACATTTATAATATCAACAATCTTTTCAGAAAAAATAAACTATCAACTATAAACTCCAAATTCACTTATCACTTATCAATTAATTTTACCTAAGTAAATAGATATTATTTAATTTGTAAGTGGTGGTTAATTTTAGCTAAGTAAATAGATATTATTATTATTTAATTTGGTCTGAGGAGGTTGACGGGTGGGATTTGCTATTAAATATGGGTCAAGCATATTTAAATCCTTAATGAAATCCCAACGTGTTTGTTATGCTTAAATGGTTACGAACTATACAATGAAATCCCAACGTGTTTGTTATGCTTAAATGGTTACGAACTATATCAGTTTCAAGAATATTTTATACGGTAATTGATCTTTTGTCTATATCATCCAAATTAATCTAATCACAAGGCTCTACCTACAAAATGTTTAATTTATATACTGGTCAATGATTTACCGCTCTAACCTCTAAGCATGAAAATCATGCCTGTTTATACAATTGTCAATTATTTATCCGTATCAAACATGAAAACGACCAACTTCCTATTTTCCGGTTCATCAATTTTATGATTTCAAAAACCAATTTTAGTTAAAAGTCAAACGATAAACATGAGGCGACTGAACTTAAAAATAAAAAAATGATTAAATTTCATAATTTCATAAAAATATATTTATAATAAAAATATTTATATGATTAAATTTCATAATAAAAATATATATTTATATTTTTATAAAAATATAATAAAAATTTAACCAATAATTATAATTTTAATAAAAATATATATTTATATTTATAATAAAAATATATATTTATATGATTAAATTTCATAATTTTATTTATATGGTTGTTTAGAGTATGACACTTTATTTTTTAA